ACGATGTTATGAGAGAGCTGCACCTCAGTTACCAGGCTTCCAGAGAAGTCTGAAGAATACGGGTTAATGCATGTAAAGGCAGTAAAAAACGGCTATTCTTTTCATCTTCATCTCAAAAACACAAAACACTTAATTGAGTGTGGTTTTTGATTTAAATTCTCTCTGTTGTTGACAGTACTGTGAAATGAAAAGGTAAAGTTTAGTTTTCTCTGCTTTGGTCTTCAGGAGACGTTGTATAACAGAACGATGGAATGAGTTTTTGTGTTGTGTGTTGCAAATTTCTGTGTTTACCTTCCTTTACACAGGCAAAAAAATGAGTGTCCTTGTGTGCTGCAGAGACCTTTAATTCCTCAAAACGTATTCAGTTAGAGAAGAACAAGTCAACTGATTCCTCTATGATATAATAGTCATCCTGGTACCAGGGTCATCAGTTCATACTGTAAACCACCTGTTGGTTGTCATTTACAGTAAAATGTAAATTCATTTATGACATAAAATGGTAGAAATGAAGGTTTTTGCAGTGCACGAATGGTTTACGTTGTGTGTTCCTATCAATGTTTATATAGACGGAGTATTTGTGAATTATTATAGAAGAATATTGGACTGTAACATAGATTTTTATTTTTTTTTTTTTATTTTTTTTTTCTAATTTTAATTGATTCCGAAAGGCACAGGTGGTTTGGAAGAGAGAGAAAGAACTAGTGAGAGAGTTGTTTTTTTTTGTGTGTTTTGTCTTTGTTAAGCCATGAAACAAATGTCCTCACTCTTGGTGGAAATAGAAGCTCTCTGCTGTTGCTTTTTGGTTTGCTTTGTCATTCAGCCGCCACTAGATGGCGCCCTGTAATCAAGAATTGGAATTTCTCATCTCAGCCATTTTCTGTGCAGCAGGAGGTCTCTCCACACAGACGCTGTTTTGATTTGAATTGGGATTGACGGACGTATATATGAAGAACCCGACTGCCCTGCTGCATTTGGACTTTTCAAAAGCCTAACTTTCTTATGAAAAAAAAAAAAAAAAAAAAAAGTTAAATGCTTTCTAAATAATTGCTACAATTGATTCTACAAAAGGTCTGTACACACTCCAGTAATAAAATACCTTTAAAAACATACATTTATCCCGCTTGAGATTATGAGATCATTTTGTGTTTTTGCCATCTGTAAGGGTGCTGCTAGGAACTGTAGGAAAGTGTGTGAGTGTGTGTGTGTGAGTGAGAGTGTACAGTTTAAAATGTGTGCATTTCAATGTACTCATAAATCCATCGCCAGTGTATTAAAGTGAGCGTAACTTGATAGGTTGCTGAACAAATGGCAGAAGGATGACGTGCTGTATTTATTTAATTTGACTGAGAGGCACATTCAAAAGCCTCAGGATCTCCAGCTCAACAGGCATGTGAGTGTTTCTGAGAGCGGGAGACATCAACTCTGATCGGGTCATAGGGTCACAACTTTAGGATTGGTTTAAGACCAGAATATAGCAGAGAAGGAGCGTAACGTATATGTTTCACACTATTTGGGAAGAGTATGGCGTTGACGTTTCTGACACCATTTTCTGGCCTGTAATCGGTTACATACAACCTCCCCACACCTCGTCCCATTTTCAACGGCACAAAGATGGAACACAAGAAAGCAACTGCCAGGTGTCTCAGCACGTCGCGTTTTATTAATGGACTTCAGACAACAATGAAACAGAAATACTAAATTTCGCCACCGGTCCAACACCTTGTGAAAGTCGGCGGGTTGTTGGTTCAAACAAAAAAGATTACTGTATAGCTGGCTGTAAGAGCACATTTTCTCTCTAAGTAAATGGCGAACAATTTCGTGGTACCTGTGTGTTAGTGAACTGCAGAAGAAGAAGAGAAGCTTGCATTAATTTCCCTCTTACATTATTGTTTTGGGGGGGGGGGGGGTTGTCGTTCTAGTGACCTGGCGAATGTAAATCCAATATGGACTCTCCTTTTTGCTCCGTTTTTGGTCTCCACCAACTCCTGAGGGAAATTCCTTTCCTTTAGCTGCTAAATGCTCCACTATGTTCACAAGCTATCTCCCAGTAGCACACAGCGGGTTTATCAGGGCTTTTTAGCTGAAAAATACTGCCTGAAAATGATGTTAATATTGATTTTAGACCCTTTAATCAAGTAGTTTTAGTGGCCTCAACGTTGAAAAGTAGTGCTGTGTCTTTTTCCTAAAAAATCAGCAAAACATTTGAGTTATTTTTAGTCTTTCTCAAATAACCTGTTTTGTTATGGTGTGTGGAATGTATGAGGAAAGAGTTATGGCTTCTGCCATTTCAAAAAATGTCAGTTTGTGCAACTAAGAAAAATTTGCTGCTAATAAAGTCGTGTAAACTGTTCATCATATAGACTCTTTGTCACAAAAGACCATCAAGCCTCGGTAAGACGGCACTGTTTACGTCCGAGTCATTTCCTAATCAGATGAAATTATCAGCGTGTTTGGTGACCGAGTTTACACGTTACTGAGGCAAACAAACATCAGACAGCTAAAAAATATGAATCCCTGAGATGTTGTGGTCTAATATAAGTTGCAGTATTAAACCTTTGAATCCAAAACAGCATTTCAGTGTTCAGCTGCCCTTTAGTTTACATTTAGATTACTGATTGGCCCTTTGAGGCTCATCACAGTTCTTTCATTCTGGTTCATTTAGCTTGGGTTTAACTTCATAGTTTTGGTCCTTATCTTTGGGTTATGATAACATTGAACTCATCAAAGTTGTTGCAGAGTTCTGTGAACTCGATGACATTACAACAAAGTCAGACGATTACTGGACGAGGTCTTTCATTTTCTCTTGCAATAAGTTTGGCTAACCCACCACGTTTTGTCTGATCATCTGCTTGTGTTTCTGACCGTGTTGGACTTCTTCTAGTGATGCTGCCACGTTCCCAGATTCCAAATCACTGGAGTTACACTTTAAAAAAAGGTAGAAACATGGTCGTTTCAGTACGCCATGCAGGCAGCGGCGAGCCGGCCTGGTTGTGGGACAGAGTCCAGGTCTCGGTCTCATCCTCGAAGGCTACTAGCTGGCAGGGCACAAAGAAGCCCAGGGAGTCAGATGGGGGTCAGTTTCCCAGCCATCCAGGGAGGCCGGGACCTGAGACCTCCTCTGAGGGAGCCCATCTGAAGAATAATCCCCAGGAAATACAGGCAGGTTTCACCCCCCCCCCTCAACCCCCCATCCCCCCGCGTCCATCCCTCTATCCCTCCATCCCTCCATCCCTGCCTGCTTCTCCTCGCAGGCAGAAAAGCCCTGTAAATTCAAAGCATCTGTACGGGCAAGGGCCAATCCGAGGGCCGCCTTTCCCAGAGCCCGCGCGGATGAAATTTTATTCTTTGCACGAAAAAATTACAGGGGGAGGGGGGAGTAAAAACAGAAAATAAAGTAAAGCAAACAGCGGGGGAAGATCAAGGAGGAGAGGAGACGAGGGGTAAGGAGCTGGTCATCAGGGATCTGCCCAGCTTTTCACTGTGTTCATAAGAAGAAAGTAATATTATGTCCTTTATGACCACGAGTCCTGACTGGAGCCTGGTAACAACAACAGTCTGCTTGCAACTGCTACTGATTTTGGACATTCACTCTTCCAGCCAAAGTGTTGCCGTTCAGCTCGTTGTAGATTATGCGGGTCGAAGAAAAGGCCGACAAGCCTTTATGTTATTTTTTAAACTTTATCACTTTTAGTATTTTAGGAGAGCTGGTAGCAAAAAGTCATAGAGTGACCAATAAGTGACCATGCACTGATCTCATGTATTGTGTGATATTGCAGATAGATTTATATTATTCAACTGTGTTTAGATTTTAGAACTTGTGTTTTGATTTTAAGCTGTTAGTTATTGTGAGCATAACAAAGTGGTGCTGGTTGTATAGAAGTCTATGAGAAAATGACTCTACTTCTCTCTTGATTTATTACCTCAGTAAACATTGTAAACATGAGTTTATGGTCTCAATCTCTAGTTTCAAGTCTTCTTCAACACAGCATGATGTTCATTTAGTAACTTATGGTCCATTTAGAGTCAAATAGACTATAAAGCAGGGTATGCTTTAGGGTGGGGCTACACGGTGATTGACAGGTTGCTAACAGCGTTTTCCGGTCTGGGAGTTGTCTGTTTTCGTGTTACAACTTTAACTCTTTCACAATGTGTGTTTTCAGTTAATGGAAGTTAATCGTAACCGTTTTGGTTGTCTAACAATGTATTTTTCAGCATTCGGTTGTACTTAACTCCGTCGTTGGAAAAAAAACGTGATGGGGACGTTCCAAAATGCCAAACTCGAGGCTTCAAACCAATGGGTGACATCACGGTGACTACGTCCTCTTCTTATATACCTATGAACACACTACACAGCTGAGTGTAGAGATAATCCAGGTATCAAGTGTTTGTACAGAGTCCTCATTCTCCACTTACTGTCCTAATACATTACTGTGACTTTGGCAAATGAAGTTCACTTTCTTGTTTTACAAGATCTTCCTGGTGCTGTTTCACCACCATCCACAGTTTAATTAATTTAATGTTTTCCAGCTGTGAGTCGCTCCTCATTTCCCTTTGTGCGTTGCATTGTGTGTGGGATAATTGTGGAAATCAACA